TTTCTTGGTTAGCCATGGTGGACGGCGTTGCGCCAATCCTAAATGACAGTCAAAAATGTGCAACGATGCAAATAACGGTTTTATGCTGCGCTGCTATACCTCCCTGCATGAATGTTTTCCTCTAAAGTAAATGTATCTTGGTTTTAACTCTGCGCTACACACCAGGTGCTTTGGCCTGAGAGATTGCTGACTGGCGACATACCACAGTTTTGCAATTAAAGCTCAGACTATAGTTTTAATGCAACCCGAGCTATTTTATCGTACACCGAGAACCCAGCCCACGTCAGCTACTGCAGCTATCACTGGTCGCTTTACAGAAGACAGTAAGGTCGACGGTGTGATCGTAATAGTAATCTTAGTCACTGGATAGCCACTATTGTTTCAATGGTGGTTACAGCGGTCATTTTCGAAGAACTGCTAAAGCGTTGGGTCCGCAATAAGCAAATGAAAGTCTTTGAATTATGCATTGCCCTGCGATTACCTAGATGACCTTTTTCGCGTATCCTAAAATTTTGTTTACCGTTTCTCCCTCTTTGCAGTGTTGCACAAGGTGTAAAGTATTTCAAAGAAGGCCGCAATACCGAGGCCCTTCAGTGCTACAACTTTGCGATCGAAGTTGAAAACTCTAACCCAGACGCCTACGTTGCTCGCGGCGCCCTGTAAGTCTATCCACAGTTAAATCTGGTGTGTCTGTTATCCTGAGACTACTGCCAGCACCGCCTTTCATCACGACTCGTCTCTAACTTTTCTTTTTTTCTGCACAGGTACGCATCGATTGCCAGCTACCCGAAAGCCGTGGAGGATTTGGAGAAGAGCTTGCAACTTCAGCCTAATCATGCAAATGCAAAGAACTATCTTGGACAGACTCTTCTTGCTTTCGCCTGCGAGTAAGTACTTTGGCAATAGTAAATCCAGCTGTCTCAATCCGACAAATAACTTATACACCAGGACGTTTTAATGCATAATTTGACAGTCGAAAAGTTTGGAATGCATTTAATGTTCGGTCTTCACGTCTTTGGCTCTGCTTAAGGGAAACGAACACTTTTTATCCACTCTCTGAAAACCTCTGACATTCTACTCGGGGTTTTCGTCGGCTTACCTTCGTCCTTTACCAGTTTTCATGCTTACCTCGCCTGTGATGAATTGTGAGCCGAGTTTCACGTCCTCGCCTCCCACCCTATCGCCTGGTCGATGGCGATTGGAAGGTGCGCTTGAAATATCGCTTGAAGCTATTCTGAGGTGATGGTGAACTAA